ATTAAATGCGATTTTAACAGTGTTCTGATTGTTTATTCTTATTATCAATGACAGTGGATTAATCTACGTTCTTTTAGCTTCGATATGAATGCTTGATCAAGACGTAACTTGTCCATAGAACGTTGGAAGAGCTATTTAAAGTGAACTAAACGGGGTACACATCGCGAGATAGAGTGTCAACCGTTGTAAACAATTGAGATTTTAACAATGTTCTTGTAATTACTGGTTCCCATCTGCTAGAGAGTACTAATCTGCGTTCTTTAAACTTCCAATGTAATCCATGACGAGGAAAACGGATGCTTGTTTAGCAGTGTAAATCCGATCGAAAAATGTGACAATTACATAACCACTAAACAGGTAACACTTTTCTTCGTCATGCATTACATTCGAAGTTTAAAGAATGTAGATTAGTACCTTATAACGGCTGATTCGTCTTGACCAAGCACTCAACTTGTAGCTGAAAGAACGTAGATTAATCTTCAGTCAGTGGCAATGACAATAAACGACCAGAACACTATTAAAATGGCACTTTATTTGCAACGGTTGACACTGTATCTCTTCATGCGTACCCCGGTTAGTTCACTTTGGACAGCTCGTACATCGTTATACGGACAGCTTTCCTTTAGCTGAGCACTCAGTTTGTAGCTGAAAGTACGTAGATTAATCCACTGTTGTTGAAAATAACAATAAACAACCAGAACACTGTTAAAATCGCATTTAATCGCATCGGTCGAAACAATAGTGGTATTCCGCAATTAAATGCGATTTTGACAGTGTTCTGATTGTTTATTGATATTATCAATGCCTGTAGATTTATCTACGTTCTTTTAGCTTCAAACTGAATGCTTGATCAAGACGTAACTTGTCCATAGAACGTTGGAAGAGCTATTTAAAGTGAACTAAACGGGGTACACATCGCGAGATGGAGTGTTAACCGTTGTAAACAATTGAGATTTTAACAATGTTCTTGTAGTTACTGGTTCCCGACTGCTAGAGAGTGCTAATCTACGTTCTTTCAACTTCGTATCTAAAGCGTGACGAGGAAAAATGATGCTCGTTCAGCCGTATAAATGCGATCCAAACCTGTTACAATTGCATATACCACTAAACAGGGAACATTTTTCTTCGTGGCGCTGATAGCGTGGGGTCACAGAACCCCTACATTTGGCGCCAGCGGCCCCGTGTGTAGGGTCGCGGGGTCACAGAACCCCCACACGTGGCGGCAGTGACTCCGCGTAATGAGTTCGTGGGGTCACAGCACCCCCACACGTAGCGCCAGAGACCCCGTGTGGTGAGAGCGTATAAAATGAAACTTCACAAGAGTATAGGCTGCTGATTGCAGGATTTAGGTAGCGAGGTATAACAATTGTTTTGGTTACTATTATTGTATGAGATCTTAGTGTGTAGATAACAAAAATAATTAGGAATTTAGTACTTACGCGTGGGACAAAGCAATTATGATAGTATGGCTGTCGTAATAGAAACCACAATAGGAGATTTTACCGTTGACTTATACACCGCTGAACGACCGCAAAGTGAGTGGAGAGTTCATAACTTGGAGGTTATGATTTCTCTTGCTCTCATAATACGTAGAGTAGTAATGTTAATCTAATTAATGTTTTGCAGCGTCTCGCAATTTTCTGAAGTTATGCAAATTAAAGTATTACAACTGGAACTTATTCCATTCCGTTCAGAACAATTTTATTGCTCAAACTGGAGATCCTACTGGTACTGGGAAAGGAGGGGAAAGTGTTTACGGAATCGTGTTAGGCGAAAAAGCACGATATTATGAGGGAGAGCAGATGCCAAAGATAAAACACGACAGAACTGGTTTACTCTCTATGGTTAATTGCGGTAATAACATGCTGGGCTCTCAGTTTTTTGTTACCCTTGCTCCTGAACTTCACTCCCTCGATGGAAAACACTGTGTGTTTGGCGAGATTACAGAGGGTTTAGAAATTATTTTTAAATTCAATGAAACAATCTGCGATGGAGATCACAGACCTTATCAGGATATACGTATTTCTCACACTGTCATTCTGGAAGATCCTTTCGAGGATCCCAAGGGTTTTATGGTTCCTGATCAGAGCCCACCACCTACAAGAGAATGTCTTATGGTATAGTCTCGTTGGTTTAGTGTTTTTTATCGGTGACAAAGCTTTGTTCCTTGTACTATCCTATAATTATGGTTACAGAGCGACAGAATTGGAGCAGATGAAGTGATAGATGACACAGCCGGCATGACAGCCGAAGAAATTATGGAGGTGCAGAAGGAGAAGGAGGCAAAGGCAAGAGCAACGATATTAGAAATAGTGGGCGATATTCCCGATGCTGAGATGGCGCCTCCAGAAAATGTTCTCTTTGTTTGTAAATTAAATCCTATAACGAACGACGACGATCTTGAAATTATTTTCAGTCGATTTGGAAAAATTGTTGGGTATGACTCAGAAAATCCTACATCTATTAATACGCGTTTCTGATGTTTCTTGCACGAACTTCTTCTTTTCTTTTAGATGCGAGGTTATCAGGGATCGACAGTCCGGTGATTCTTTACAGTATGCGTTCATAGAGTTTGCGGATCGGAAAAGTTGCGAGGAGGCTTATTTCAAGATGGACAACGTGTTGATCGACGATCGTCGCATACACGTGGACTTTTCGCAGTCCGTAGCCAAAATGAGATGGAGGGGCAAAGGTAAGGGGATACAGTATTTCGAAGACAAGAACAACGAAGCAGGGAATCATGGTCGCAAGAAAGCTGGGTCTAAGAATAAAAAGAGGGATGAGACAAACGATGACGTTAGGTATGGAAAAGAGACCGACAGGAGGTACAACGAAGAAGCGCTGCAGCATCGAAAACATGAGCGGAGGAAAGAATTCGAGAAAGAAGACTCGGAATACTTTCGGAACGTGGGAAAGTACTCGGAGAAAGAAAAATATAGAGAAGGAAGGTACCGTGACGATTCTTGCGAGGGGTACGAACACGATGTAAGACGAAAGAAAGAGAGAAAGCGTCGAAGTAGAGATCGAAGTAGTGATCGAAGTAGAGAAAAGCACAGAGATAGAAGCAGGGACAGAGATCGAAGTAAAAAGGAAAGTCATAAGGAACACAGATCCAATAAAAAACACTACGAAGAGAAAAAAAGGAGGGACAGGGAAAGCTCTAGTTCCAACAGCGACAGTTCGAGACATGGAAGACACGAAGAGCGGCATTCAAATCATAAAAAGAAACGGAACCGAGATCGGTCCGCGGAAAAATACGGGAAGGCAGAGAAGCACAAGCAAAAAAGGAAGTGATGTAAATAGTATTCTTTATATCCATGATCCCGAGATGTATCAGAGAGATGCAGAAAACCACCGCGCGGCAAATATGTATATTTTGTGAAATAATGGATCTAGCAATCGATGCGCCATTTTTTAAAATATACGCTTGTCTTTTCAAGGGAATAAAGCTACTACTTAATTTATACTTGCAGTTAATCATGAATTGTCTTGTCGCCATTTAACTGGAGTTAACTTTCATCGAAGACGAAAACTGCGTTACCCATAGAAGGCACGCGTACTCCGTTTTAATCGGTGAAAGATTATTGCAGTGACTGAAGATGTCGCCATATATTCTACTCCGAAATGATTCGTAACGTTTTTTTACCGTACTTTTTACAAATTGTATTTATACGTTTTTCAAATTTTGTGCACTGTGACATGACGTCGAATCCGTGACGATAGCTAACACTTCAATAAAAGGTGAGTGTATCACCGTAAGTTCATTCAGAGTGTTCGAAGAATAATTTGAGGTTATGGTAAACGCATGCACATCGAATCGAATTACCGTTTTTCGCTCGTAATCATCTCCTAAAAGAGCTTCGTAATTTCATGAATAAATCTTTCGAGTTAGCGAGCAACAACTGAAAAAATTATGTAATTTTTTTGTCACGATAACAGTAATCTAACTGTGTATTTGTATCCGGTCACGTGATCGAGCACGTGTACACTACGCGCACGTTTTCATTCGTATTATGGGAATTAACTGTTCTCTCGTTATTTCCGTTAAAACGTAGATACAATTAAATATTATAGTTATCAAAGAATTGCCCTTTTTTGCACCGACTTCGTCCAAGGGAAGAAGATAAGGAAGTAGAGCCGCCGCCTGCCGACACTTCCGAGGCTCGATATAGGTCCAGTTCTCTCTCTGTGAGAACTTCTCACGTCCGTTTATTTATTTCGATATTAACAATGATTCTTTATGTATATACTTTAGGTTTCAATGGAATCACGTATATGCTTACATGTTTTATTGTTGCTATCGTTGCGTTACATTATCGTCGCGAATCGTGGCTGGTCCCTCGACGTTTCCACCACGATTCCACGCCGAGGGTGAAGAGCATTGTCTCGTTTTTCGGTTCGACTCAACTAGTGGTTCAGGTCACGTATTTTCAGGCTTGTTATAATACAGCGTAATGCCGGTTTTTCGCGTGGAAGCGAATCACGTCGCGACAGGGGTATGACGTACAATGTATACTTAAGTGACAAACAGCGGTGAATAAAGTATCGGTGGAAGAGGGATCGATAATGATACTGTCCGATCGCGTACGAGGCTCGTAATCGGCCAACGTGCGCTCTCCTCGCGGGTAAAACGTACGGGATTTCGGTCGATCACCAAGGGGACGATAATGAGTTTCGGTGGATACGGTACTAAATAAATAAGGGCGCGTAAAAAGACTATGTAAAACGCATTACACGTTTCTTCTCGCGAAACGATTATAAATAATTGATCGAAGGGTGCAGGCAGCCTCTCTTTTCCTGTCTCTCTCGTCTATCGAGCTACCGCGTACTTGAAGATGACGATATAGCGAGGCAGTAAACCGAACTGGGGACCATGAACAGAGAGGTTAATAAAATGGCGGCTACGTTTTCGCCGGTTCCATTAAAGACAACGTTCTCCATACTGGTAACGCTGAACACTGTCCTAGAACAGCCAACCCTAATCAAGCCATGCCGACAAAAGAATCGTATCTTTATGGCCTCGTTGAGTTTACTACCACAATTATGCCGATACCTCCAAGTACACAATCGCGTCTCGGGTTCGTCCGTACACGTATTTCCCAGAAACATTCTAACCTAAGAATAATAGTTTTTCTAAATGATAATAATAACACTTTTATTAGATTCACATCAGCACAGGAACCATGCAATGGTCTCTGTTGAGTTGCTGTTATGATTTTCCCGCTGACACGAATGCAACGAGGACCGAGATGGTTCCAAGATGCATGCATCGCGAGGTGTCGTTTCGCTGTAAAAGAATTAATCGCTGTTAACGTTTTTCCCGGACATTGCAATGAACCGGTCTCTGTTACTTTGTTCCTGTTATTCGTGATCGTTCTGAATTCAAAAGACAGTCTCGAGAATATCGCAGCCTCGGCACGTGCACCCTTCTCACTTAAAGCTAACGAATAAATACCTATTCGCCATTACGATTCTTCATCAAATGGCACGTCGAGGACACTTCACTCTCCAGAAAATCAGTGCTCTTTCTCTTTTCCCCTACGTTTGGTTTGTTTGTTTTTTTTTGTTCATGTTTTTTCTATATCTTTCGGAGAGATTCGTGAATAGTCCCGGGTCGGGAAGATCGATCGATCAATGTTGTCCTACGGTTACTCTCGTCCGATCGATGCGCGCAACGGACGAGGCGAAATCGACGTTTCGGTAGCGAATGCAGTGTCCTCGATCCCCGGTCAAATCATATTATACTGCAGAATACTAGGAAGCGAAATACGCGCGCGCGCACTTGTTCTCTCGTTCTCCTTGACGTTCCGATTAGAGATAGGCAAACTTTCGTTCGAATAATGCATAAACGTTGTCGAATCGACAACTTCCGATTCGTTCACCGCGATCTACTATTTCGTTACGAAATTAACGTTTCAGGATGAGTCGTAACGTTCTTGTCCGGCTCACACGCCGTCGCACATTATCAAACGGTTACTTACGTCACTTATGTAATGTTACGCTGATAATGTTTTTCGTTATTTTATCTCGACGGGCGTTAAGATCAACGGGAATAACGTTCCGAATGGTCGTTCAGCCATTTCTTTTACATCCGACGGCTACGACTCACCCCACTCACGGAACTTCCGATATAATACATGAATAAAAGATGAAAATATATTTATCCTTTGCTCTCGGTACACGAAACACGTTTTTATCCGGATAAAAAAAAAAAAGGAAAGAATCGACATTTTTGCCCATCTCAAACGCTCGGTCTCGACGATCGAGGGGAGGAGAAGAAATCGTGTCCGAGCCAGTCGGATCGTGTCCCTTCGTTCCCGTTTCTCGTCCGACCGAGTAGCTTACAGAAACGACACTGAACGGATTCGGCCGTGACAGCATTATATACATTTCCGTTGAGATTTAGTCCACGGTGGCTCTGTCAACGGGAGCCGAAATATCCCAAAGAGAAGGTCACGCGACGAAGGAACCGGCCGGGACTCAGGAGAACCTAACCTCAACTCTGCTCTCGAGAGACGACTATCCCACCCAAGATGGCGGCGATCCCGGCTCGCATAGTCGTTTCGTCGTCGAATACTTCGCGGAATTTCGACTCGAATACCGGTCAGCAGGATTCGAATATACTATTCTGTTGCTCGATGGAATCTCTGGACACTCGCGACGCGGATATACAGAGTCGAATACGTCCAGCGTCGACGGGAAAACCGGGCCAGCAGCAGAGACTGATATACATTATACATATATGTATATCCGATTTTCCCGCGCTGACAGCGCCGCGTCGCGACGCCCTCTACCGATTGCTCGCGGTCCTTCACCGGTCGTTCCTTTTTCCCGTGGGCTTTCACGCGCGAATTTCGCTTGGTTGTTGTGTTATCGTTGTGTTCCTCTCGAGGGCAGAGGGTGCACATCACGCCGGGACGAGGCTCCAGAATTTTTCGCACACGTGGCCGCCGTCGTCCGCGGCGAACGATCTTGGTTACGCTCGGTTCGGTTTACTTGTGCAGCTGCCGTTTGCGTCCCATGTTGCAGATCTTGAAGTGGCACAGGGTCATATCTGTCAACGGGAAGACGAAATCTGCGGCTCATTTCAATGGTTTGGGGGGGGGGGGGGGGGGGCATGGTGGGTTTTCAATGGAGTAGGAGTGGAGTTTATAGGCCGGGATTCATAGTCACTACTTTATCTTAACCGCTTGCCTTACGATATATTCGAAGATTGCTCTCTACTTAATCGTTAATAATTTTTCAGATACAAAAGGAATTTTATTATTATGGCAAGTGTAACATTTATTCTAAATTTTAAATGTTAATACTAGTATTTCACTTATGTTTATTAAGAGCAGTTCGAAATCGCCATCACGTATGTGACTCGATGTTATAAGGCAAGGGGTTAAGAATAAGCAACGACTATGAATCCCGCCCATAGTCTGACGTCGATCTTTCGATGGCGGATCGAGGCCTGTGGCTTGTTTTCCAATCGAAATAACCATCGTTGTTGGGTCTGACGTCACGAGCATCAAAAGTCAATTGGCGGAATCGATTGGTTTATCGTACTCCGCCGCGACTAGCTCGCTCGTTTCCCCGAAACGAATCGCGCCTTTCCAGAACCAGACGGATCTGGAAAAGATTAACGCGTCACGAACGTACTATACGAATTCCGTTAGGCCAACGATACGCAGGGGTTGTTTCCGTTGCACGGGAAAAGTTTTCCGATAGCGATGGGCACCATCGACTAAAAACTATCGACTGAATAGTCATTAGTCGATAGTTTAATTTAGTCGATGGCGCCAATCACTATTTTCCGACCGTTTCGAGGGAACTCGTGGGGTTGGGGGCAGGGTCCACATAGCAGAAGGTCGATTAAGACGCGGCGCGACTTGGGATTCCGTGTTTTCCGGCCAGGAAGAAAATGGCCGTTGCCAAGCGAGGCACGTTCGTGACCGAGAGTATTTCCCGTCTTAATAGAAGAATGGACGAGTCACAGCGGGAACGATCCGGGGGCCAAGTAGCCCTCGAAAGTTTGCGGAACGCGAGCGGGATTTCTATCCACGGAATCGTTGGGATTGACTTTAGGCTCTCGATGCACAAACGAGATGTGTCAAGCAATTATTTAGCTCCTAGTTCATTCGATACACGAATTGTCTACGTTATGTGTTGGACGATCAATTTAGGTGGTCGATGACTAACCTATTCACGTTGATTCACTCTATGAGTAACTGCAACCACGCTGTTCTGTTCTAAAAAATTTATTCACTCTTATTTTGCTAAAATTCTGAACTCCTAGTTACTCATCCTGTAGTAAGGTCCACAAGAATTTTCTCCCTGCCACAGAATGATAGTATTAGGTCTACCGGAAAGTTCTGTCCGATAATGTCATCTCAAGTTTCAATATGCCTGAACGTGTTCGTGTGAAACATATATGGATGTCTCAATTTCTCCACTGTACAGGGTGATTAAACGATGGAAATTATATTGTTCAGTGAATATCAATAAATGTATTGAAAATATATTATTTTCTTTTAATTAAAAAACGGACAGAACTTTCTACCAGATCTAGTTTAGCTTACAATTAGACTCTTACAGCACTCTGTTACGTTTAATGGAATGAACCTTTTCAAGATTTACCAAAAGTGTCAACACTCGTAATCCAACACATGATCGAGCAATTCCACGATTTCGTCTACCTCGTCGTTGCTTCCATTTTCGAGGATGATTCTAGTGGGAGTCTAGATTTAAGTGGACACGCAGCTTCACTCTCGAGAATAAATACACCTGTTTCTGAAGTCTGACCGCGTGGCGACGTGGGCGGATTAATCCGACCCGCGAATCCTCCAATAGGAGGATGCAGTTATGCCTGCAGGGTGTCCTCGAAAATTCTTCCGAACTGATCTCCTCTTTAAGAGTGGAAAAGTTGCCACACTTTTATACGCTTTCTGCGTTTCGAAACTGGAAGTGGACGCATGAATTGGAGGAGGATATGAATTCTGGACGCACGAAAGTGGAGGGAAGAATTTGAGAAAGGAACTTAGAGGCTACTCACAGCTCAGGGCGGTGCGTTTCCCGGAACGCTGCGCCTGACTAACGACCGCGTTCGGTGTCGGAAGCTCCTCCGCTGAGTAGTCGCTCGGTTGAGCTCTCGCTTTGTCCTTCGCCCTGGCTTCCAGCACCGACTGGATCATCACTTGCATGTCGACTAGCTCCTTTTCCCGTTCCTCTATGTTCTTCTTCTCCTCGTTTACCCGTTTCAGCTTGTCCAGCAGAATCTGTGAACCGAATTCGTCGCGAATGAATGACCTAACCTCCAATTCTCAGAGCTACCATTGGGAAATTGGGTTAAGCTAGTGATGGCGATACGTTTGAATTGTGTCGATAATTGGTATCGATGCGTATCGATATTCAGAGTATCGATGCACTAGTATATCCGGAATGAAATGTCGATATTATTGGTATCGATACTTGCAATGAGAAGAAGTCGATCAATCGCAAACTTTACGGGATGGTCTCGATTGGTCCATTCTCCTTACGACCTGTTACTTTTACGGCGACTGTAATGATCGTATCGAAGTTTCGATACTTATAGGTTAAGTATCGATACTACAATATATCGTCGTATGAAATATCGACATTTGAATTGATAAAAGCAACGATATTCGAAATATCGTTACTGTATCGCCCGTCACCGATTCCAGCGTATTTCAAAGCGAGAGTTTACTCACGAGATCCTCGGGGTTGTTGATGAACGCGTCCCTGTAGACCAACTCCGGCGGTATTCGGATCGGATCCCCAACGACGCGTACGTTGTCGTTGGCGAGGCAGAACAACAACAGTGCCAGCAGACACAAGCCCGTCCGTTTCGCGCTGGACCTTCCCGTCATTCCCTCGATCCTCTTTGTCGCTGTGAAGAAAATCGTGACACGTTACATTCACGATTCAATGATCCTATGTGTCGATCACAGATCGACGAAATGCAACGATAACACCGAATCGCTGTTATAGTACAGTAAATCATCGATGAGTGCTCGAAGATTCCACGGCACTGACAAAATTCGTTTTCTGCCCGAAGCCCAAGCCTCGGTAACAAAGTACATATGTGCTTTAAGCCGGATTGACTCCGGATTCATCAATCACACGTAATATAATGATACGTCTAATAATATAATATAAATTCAAATTGATTTTTTCCCTCCCCAATAGTGGAGATAACGCCTGGACAATAATCGTGTAGGACAAGCCAGACGATAATCGAGAGGAGTCTGTAGAACAGAAAAACGGAAATTTCTTCACAGTTTGCTACCCGTCCATAAATCGTTCCATACCACCGTACGGCGAGCACACGTCAGAAATCGTGTAGTGGGAAGGGGGAGAGGTGGGGAAAATTATACGAGAGAATTTTGGCCGAAAAAACAAAAACTCGGAATACACGATGATCGACGGCGTCTCGAGGATGTAAGTCTTGGACTCGATCAGGGGTGATAAAAACCACGCAGAAGGCGAGAAATGGGTTAAAAGTCTAGCAGGGGTTGCAGAGAGAGAGGGTTGCCGGCTGATACACCTCGATCCGCGTGGGTGTTTATTCCCGTAGCCGAATGAGCCATCAAACGTCGATTTATCTCGAGGATCGATCGTTCGCGCGCCGCACCGCTGTTTCTTTTTTCTTTTTTTCCTCCTCTCGGTTTCCCGGCGAACCGTGAATATCGTCGCCGTTCGAACTACCCTCGATATTCCCCTCGACAATCGGTCGTTATCACGCCTCTCCTATCCTTAACGCTCCGACGATCCGCGCCACCTCGTTTCGCCGTCGCCGAGAGTCCGAATGGGGCTGCTCTCTCTTTCCTCCCACCGTTTCGAACTAATTTCCTCGTTTGCCTGCTTTCTTCTCCGACGGAACCAACAGCTTCGGGATGATCTATTGGGAAAGTGAGAATTTCTATACGCGAACTAGTGAAAGAAAAATGAAACTACTGAGAGTAGGTCGAGTATCTGTATGGTCAACAAGGTTTGAATAGATAGTTGAGAATAACCAGTATTTTTATATTTTTATAATTATTTTAAACAGTTATAGAAATATACACCATGGAGTTTTCTCGTAGAAAAAATTAAAGTTAATTACGTTGCTGGATGTATGGCTGCAACAGCCGTGCCTGTAAAAATGATACTGTTCGCTTTTACCATTTTTCTCGGCCAAAAGGAAACTTGGTGAAATTGTAAAATAAATTAAACGAAGAAAAAATTATTGACCGCTTCAGGGCTTGGGTGAAAGTTTTAAAAATGGACAAGAATGGATCGTTGTCGATGATAGTATGCTCGTTACACTTTAAAAAAACACGGTTTTATCCCAATAAGTAAAAATATAAAAATTTATGATTTTTAGGAAGTCGTGTCGGAAATTTTTTAAATTACCCTAGGAACCCTTCTCGAGATAGCGATTGACGATTGATGCGCCGATGGTGCGTGTAAAATTATATTCGTGAATAAATTATTATTCGCTGGTTCCTTGGAATAAATGCATATTTGAATAAATTTTTATTCCAATACAATTTCAGTCCAATATTTATTCGAATACAATTGCATCCGAATTTTTATTCCAATCCAATTTCATTCGAATATTTATTCGAATATAATTGCATTCGAATTTTTATTCGAATAACGTCCACCTCTGATACAGAGTTGGACGATCGTGTCCTCATTGAGCAAACACTCGGAGCGTGGTGTCTTCTTCCGTTTGAGGACTCTCGAGCCTCACAAGCAGAACCACCACGTCTGGTTCCGTGGTGGTATGAAGTGTCGTCACTTTGACTTTCCACTTGTTGCGTGTTCACGGAATCTCGGTGGCTTGGGTCGCCTTTGTGCGTCGATCCGTAAGTCAGGACCTTTCTTAATTGATCCAAGCAGTTGGTACCCCCTTTGTACTTGGATATATGCGTTCGCCAGCTCGCTGGGAACCGGAAAGAGCCAAGAACCGCGACTTGGGGACTCGTGGAACGTTCTCGATGTTAATAATTCAAAGCATAATTCGAATGTGTTTTCCCCACTCGCATTCCCTCTCGCTGCGTAATGTTGTTTAAACGTACAATATCCATTCGTGGAATTCTCCGGTATTAACCTCGCTTATTAATCCTTTGCACTCGACTGTCCCCTTCTGAACGGACCAAATGTATGGAAAATTAGTAAATTCCGAGTGCAAAAGGGTTAAGGCCCCTTTGTCGGGAGAATCCGGCATCGGGAACCGTACGAATTACACGGATATATTAAGATACAAGTCTCATTCCAGACTCCATTTCCGATTAATTAAATATTTTATCACCGTACGCGAATTTAATTGTTCTCACGACGGAACAGATTTATTTCAACGTCTCTGGAAATGTATTTACTCCGGTTCCCTTAAACTTCCAACTGAATTTATAATTACTAAAAAATTACGGGAGTCCCCTTGACACACTATATTTATTTATTTATTCAATTCCCAGGAAAATAAGCCTTTTGCTATACACGTAAAAAAAAAAACACAAAAAATGCAAAATTACAAAATTCTTCAGCGAAGACGAAACAAAAGAAATGAAAATGAGAGTAGTTAACTGTATATTTGACCGTCTGTAGAATTTTTACATTATGTACAGCGGATCTTCTTATCGTTCCAGACCACGTATTACATCAGTTCGTGTCGCGTTCCGCAGAGATCAATCTCGAAAGATTCGTAAGGGAACGTACAAGACTGCCAAGAGAAACAGAGACGGATATGGAAAGAGAGCGAAATTGTCGCGTGATTGGTCCACGAACGGGACGCACCCGATATAACAGCTCGACTTCGACTTCGATCCCTGTTTGCGATCTCGCCTAATCTTATCCCAGTCTGCTCTTATCGTCTCGAAGGGATAATCCTCGATGACCCAAGAGCTTTCTGTTCGCTCGGATTCATTCAGCTGAGCAATTTATCTGGCGACCCGGGTTGCTTGGACAGATAACATCGAAAGAGGAGGGGGATCGGAGAGGAGAGGGAAGAGCAATTACACTTTACATAATTTCGGTTCTCGCCCACGAAAATTCAACCGCTTGTAATTTCCCAAGCTCGTTTTTTTTTGTGCTTTTTTTTTTCAATTTTCTTCTTTTCTGTTTCACGTAACTTGGGCCAGAGTTGGGCAGAATTTTATTCGAATAATAGACAGTGAAAAACAGCAGTATCTAAGGGTGTCCGTTCTCAGCTTTAAGGGGCTGTGCTACTGTGACGGGTTTATAATAAGGCAATTTTCGGGAATTTTTTAAAGAAAAATTATTTAACTTATCAATTTGAATAATATGTATATTTACTAAATAATATTTGTAAAGTATGCTATATTTTTATAAAGCAAAAATAATGTATTTTCCAAAAGTTACAGTTCGTTTGTGAAAGCGTCTTAATGAATTTTCTTTGTGGTTGTGTGAAATAAAAAAAAACATATATTTTCTTAATTTGTATCTGTGTGGCTATAGCTCGTGCCAGAATAATTTAAAAAATTTGAGAAATAAACAGAATGGCGCCATCCCAAACAAAGGGTTTAATATATTCGTATGAAAATGGCTGGTTTTTTAACCCGCAAATTTGTAATTATTAATGTATCGAAAACAGATATGCCAAGTATTATTTTGATAAAATAATACTTCTTTATAAATGAATCGAGATTTGTCGAACAATTATTTAATTTCATTAACTGTTCTTACGATTAACCTTCGCGGTTCGATCGTTAACCTAGTCGTTCGAAATTTTTCTTCGAGAAACTTTCACGTGGCTAGGCTAGTTAGAGATATACATTGCCAGGTTCCCATTGGCCGAGCGTTTTGTCATTTTCCGCGTCCACGAATCGGCGGAACAATGAGGCCTCTAGTACGCCGTTCGTTCGGCCATTTATCGAGGAAAATTGCGGCCTGTTAATGCGCGATCGTCCGAGTTCGCTTCGTCTTTTTTTTTTTTTTTCTTTTTATCCAGGACTCGATCGACCGTGTTCATCGCCGAATTCCGCCCACGATCGCGCCGACCCCATCCCCGTTTCGTTTTCTCATCACCGATTTCCTGCATCCAACGAGTCGATTTCGCGACGATTTCTTATTCATTCCCGGTTCATGGCCAGGGATCCCTACAGCCTGACAGAAAAATTACGTCGATCCCCCCCCCCCCAGTTTAGGCGGTAAACAAAACGATTAACTACCGATCAAGATGGGAATTGACGCGTGACGTTTAATTGGACCCCACACACGTCGACGACGTTCCGTTAATTTGTGAAACGGAGACAATAGACGATTAACGATTCCGATTCTTCGGCACGGGAAGCGAAGAAATAACAGCTGTTGGAAGTGGACGACACTTTCAGTGTGAAGAATCGTTATTACTGGGTTGACGGTATGCAACGTGTCTCGTAAATCGGTAATTTTTTTCACACAATAAATTACCTTATTTATTTTTTTTAAACGTGAATTCGCATACATATACACTTGAATATATACCTGACATTTCGTACACACGATTCATCCTTCGAACCCACATAAAACAAACATTTACTTCCAGGTCAAAATGACCTTGCATCCGCCGGCCACGTCAGTCCCGGAACATTCCGTCTTCCGACGGTCAAAAAAAACGTCAATTGAACAAAGAAATATTTACGAACGATTCGTCAGAATTCGTACGAACTGTTACCAACGTAATATATAAAAGAATGAAGTGTTACATCTAAAAAATTGAAAAACAAAAAAAATATATAAAACAACGACGTGATACATCTTAAGAATTTAAAAGAAAAAACAATATATAAAAGAATTATGTGTTACATCTCAAGAATTGAAAAAAAAAACAAAAAAATATATAAAAGAATGACGTGTTACATCTCAAGAATTTAAAAAAAAAAAAAAAAAACACTGATTCCTCCT